TACATTTTTTATATAAAGAAACTTTCAATATTAAATGGATTCACGGTGAGGTGGCCGGGTCCAACGCTTTGTAGATAGAGGAGATTTAATGATGCCTAGTGTAGCATAGTAATCCCGGAATAATCATGTACTTAAAATTTATTATTATTATATATAAGAATCTTTTAGTATATAGTATTTAGTAAAAAGGGACGTTTAAATTTTAAATATATATTAAATATAAATTAAACAAGAATAATTATTATATGAATGAGATCACTAGGTCGCGTGTTTAGTATCGCATACGATATTATATCTACTGACCGTGATAATGTTTTTTTTTGGTTCGGGAGTACACCTTCGTTATATCTAGACTTCAATAATTTGTCACACTGACACAGTTACTAATATTTGTATTAATAATAGAGGTTATTAACTTAATGGATTAATGTTATATTCTTATTAAAAATATGGGAGTTTTTGAATTTATGTCGGTGTTTGTTGTTCTTTAACGCGGAAACTACTGAACGGATTTTAATTAAAATTTTCAATAATGTAGCTTAGATATAAGAATAGGGTATGAGGTATGATTTATCCCGGAATTACGTGTAGTTATACAGGATGACGTAAGTTTTTTTGTGTATAAATTTACGTTGCCCTTACTATAGATGTTTCTACCTGTAGGTTAACGTGTCTATTTTTTCACACCCTGTATACATTTCTCTTTGAGTTCAATTTAAATGTTCAAACGAACGAAGTAGATATCAAAAACTAGTATTACACATGCATATCTCAAAAAAATAAAATTATTATAATATATTATGTTTTACTTGGGTCTTAAAAATAAACTTCTGTCACATACTAAATTTAATGAAAACGTATCAGCCTGTGATTTTAATTAGGTTATACGGCTTCGATATAAATAGGTCTTTGCCAATGTTTTGCTAACACTCATATGCTGGAAAATTATATTCGTTTAAACACCTGGAAAAATATATCCAGGTCTTCACGGTCAAGATGCGTATATCATGATAACTTTAACATTTTATTATTTGTATTACATTAAGAATGATTATGTTAAAACCAGCTAATTTTCGATACTTATAAATATATCTTTCTCTTTTTCTTTTAAATTATTATATATACATATACATAAACTGAGCAACTAAAGAATGAAAATCATATAAAAGTTTGTTATTGCATTTACCTATATACTATGATTTGATTTCAACATATACATGTATATATGTTGTAACACACATACGTACATACATAAATTTCTTTGCTCGCGTCCGTATAAAGTTCGAGGTCATATTAAAATAGACCTTTGTCGATCGATCGCGACAAAACGTTTGAACTGCTGAATGATTTATTCCGCCATCTTTGATGTGGTGACGTCACGAACGAAGGTGTTGCGTCACACACACACACACACACACATACATATATACATATGTGTGCGTATATAATATCTAAGAGACATAGTACACTTTCATGTACGTATGTTTAAGGTCAAAATATAGAACTATTAGCTTTCCGCCCGCAGCTTCGCCCGCGTGGAGTTCGGTTGTATCGCGTTTTCAAGAGAACCTTTCTAAAGTCTGGGATAAAAACTATCCTATGTTCTTTCTCAAGGTCTACTCTATGTCTGTACCAAATTTCATTAAAATCAGTTCAGTGGTTTAGGCGTGAAAGCGTAACAGACAGACAGACAGAGTTACTTTCGCATTTATAATATTAGTAGGGATATTTTTAACCGTCTTCATAATAAGTATATGCTTTGTTTATTTCTGGATTTTATTAATAAGCAATCGATATATAAGTATTGAAAATCACGAAGTAATAAAATCTCAATAGATTTAATAATATATTAGTCAAATGAATACAAAAAAAAATCTATTTTTTTTTCGTAAGGAGGTAGTTTTAAACATTCATACTAAATGCTTGTTGTATTATGATTTATGAAGTGTCGATGTGTATTTTTGTTACTAAAAACTACTAAACATGTTCGAATTCAAAATAATAATTTAGTGACAATGACTAAACATTGAGAGTTCTCATTGACGGAAGATGAAGAGATAATTTTTGGGAATTTTCGTGAAAGTGTCAAAGGTCAAATAATAGCTGGGTTAAGGTCATTCACCTTATAATAGGAATAAACATTTTTAAAACTTGTCTCTATATACCTTTAGGCTGTTAGATTAATGTTAGTTTTTATACCGTATATTTTATTATTTTTCATGTAAAATTAGTAGTTTGATATAAGAAAGCATTCTTTTTTAAATAATAAAACTAAAATGTAATAGATATTTTTTTAGTTATCCTAATTAATATATGTGTACGAAGTATATTCAATTTTTATTTATAAGGTAAAAGGTATATAAATAATAAATTTTGGATAGCGAGTAATTTATTTTATTCAAAGTATTAATTCTGACTTACTTATTTTAAGAGTGAAAATAAAAAAAAGATTATAAGAAACAAAGTTTTATTACTATTAAAAAAATATGAAAAGATATCTATGTAATTGTTTTTGTGCGGTTTATCTTATGTTTTTCACTATATCAACATTAATATCCCTCTAATTTATTTTGATGTACTTGTTATTTAATTTTAAACGTTTGTAAGGTCGGAACCATAAGTAACTTGTTTGTAAGACGGAAGTTGTTGTTCAATAGAAATACTCACTTCCTGTCGTGATTTACAAATGACTTTGATTTAGTTTGAACTAATTAATATATTATTTGAATCTTGGATCAATAGTAATGATATTTTTTTATAATATATATATTTTATGATATTTTGATATAAATAGAGACGGCTGCTTTATTTCTGAATTAAAAAATAATGATACATAAATTTGGCTTTGATCAATGTTATGTTGTAAAATTCTGCTTTGGGAGAAAATCTACAGAATTAAATATGTATAAAATAAGTACAAAATGCTGATTCATTTTTATTTTATTGAATTTATGGTCATGAAAATAATATTAAGCAACTTACCTACATTACGAGTAATTGTACAAAAGTCTAAAAAATTTTTTTTAAGTTTTAAGTGAGGTGATTTAAAAAATACATGTTTAAATCGTAGTTAACTTTGAACTTTTAGTTAAGTTTAACCACATATACTTTCTATCGTACAATTTTCTTTAATTTCCATACAAATATATTAATCTGAAATCCTTAAATTAAGTTTTTTTTTTTAAATAACAAACGCCATAATCTGGCAAACATCCAGGACGAAACGAAAATAAACGCGGCAATTTCGCATTCATTTTGTAACGATATCTTCAATCAGACGCGATTGACCTGGATTTGGAAACTTCTAGAATTTCCAGAAGTACAACTAACCTTTTTTTTTTTTTTTTTTGTTATCGCGGTGAAAGGTTTTATACCTACCCCTCCGTCTAGGGGAGACAGAGGCGGTTATGTGGGATTCACGGCCAGAAGGGCCCATGTTACCCACTAAAACACCAGCGGTCACTCTCCGTTGCCGCCAAGTGGATCGCCACGGGAAACGCCGAAGCATGCATCCGCGACGATCCGGCGGCGGGCCGCGAACGGCCACCTCCCCCCCCGAGGGCTCACTCCAAGTGACCAGGAGTGTCCCCCCGCCTGGCGGGCTTGCTTAATCGCGAGAGGGTTAACCCCTTACCCCTCCCACCCAAGCCCACGCGGCCAGTCTCCAACCACCCACCGACGAGCGCAAGCGCCCGACGGCAAACAGAGAGGAAACCGACCGACCACAAGCGAACTCAGGCCTCCGGAGAGACCCGAGTATCCCCTCCCCCCAAGACAGCCACGGACGGCCTCCTGCCAGATCCGTGACCGTCTTACTCCCAGGGCTGTACCCCCAGCCCTCCCCCCCGTGACTGATTGCACCGGAATACACCAGTGGGCGATGGGGTCGTCACGTCCCGACGCCGGAAGAAGTACAACTAACCTAACCTAACCTAACCTAACCTACACCTAGATATATTATTTAATTCAACTATATTATACTAGCTTTCAGCCCGCAGCTTCGCCCGCGTGAGGTTCGGTTATATCGCGTTTCCAAGAGAACCTTTCAAAAGTCTGGGATAAAAACTATCCTATGTTCTTTCTCAAGGTCAACTCTATCTCTGTACCAAATTTCACTAAAATCAGTTCAGTGGTTTAAGCGTGAAAGCATAACAGACAGACAGACAGATTTACTTTCGCATTTATAATATTAGTAGGGATATATGGAATTAATAAAATTTTACTAGTAAAATTGAATGAATGCATTCAAGACTCTTAAATTTTATTAACGTTTTAATAACATATTTTTGTTACATTGAGTTTTTTATTAAAGTTTATTTTCTTATTTATTCACTTTATTTTTCTTATACCTCGTGGTTCCATCGAACAAGAAAGAATACAAAGTGGTTCCTGATCAAAAAAGGTTGGCAACCACTGGTTTACAGCAACCGTGATCACGGGCAGATGAGATGAAAGTGTTATACTTTAGTTTCATTTAAATGAACACACGAAAATCTTAAATATCACTTACTGAGTTGACAATAGATTTGTCTTGTTGGAGTAACCAAAATCCACTTTAAAAACACGTAAAAAAATATATAAATTTAATTTCAATTTTTAAGTAAACATGTTAATACGTATCTTTGAAGTACACATTTAGAAGTATTCTTACAACGAAGCCAGCATCCAATGTAGTATTATTAGTACTGATCTAAAAATATAAGATTAACCCTATGTACCGTCTCGAGGGTTAAATACTATTAAGTTTAAAACACATTACTTTAAGTTTTAAGTAAATTTAGTTATATATAGCTGTTTTTAAAATTTAGAATTTCATAATTAAATGATACAAATGTATTGGAAGTAAGAGTAAAATTATATAAATCCTTACATATATGTATATATATTTGAAGTTTTATGTAACCTCATATAGTCGTAGTGGAACTACGTTATATATCAGTATCTGTGTAATATTATTTCCTATATAAATAAATGCTGTGACAATTTTGATTGTGTTTCAGATATGGGGGGACCTGAGAGAAGGAATCGAGCAGGTTTACAAGAGGGAGTACATGCACAGACAGAGATACATGGATCTATATACGTATCCTTTTATATATACATATATATAATACATATATTATATATATTATGTAACGTATTTTAAGACTAAGTTGTCTTTGAATGCTATCATTGTGATTATTAATGAATCATCTCGAAGTTGACTAATATATTTAAAGATTGATAAATAAATATCTTAAACTTGATAATTATCATATAAATGAGATTAATTTTAAGTAATCAATTCGCTAGCAATATGATTGATATGGATTTTATACACACAGGCACATATGCGCATGCGCACGTACACGCAAACACACATATACATATATTTATTTTCAATTTGAATTACCTATCGATTTTGTATGGAATTATTATTTTTCGATAATCTATATTGTTTAGAAAAACGTAATAATGTCCTTAATGAACACAGTCATGTATATAATTACTGTACGTCGGTACATCAGCAAAGCTCTAGCGGTTCCAGCAAAAGCCTCACTACCAGCAACAGTTTCGGCAGTTACAGCAGCCGGAACAGGAATAAGGTAAACACACATACACACACAAGCACACACACAAACATACACACACACGCACACGCTGACACACAGACGCAGACACACAGACGCAGACACACACACAGATACAGACACACAGACACACACACATATACACAAACATACACATACCTGACAAACACATATACCGCTTCTATTACATCGGTTAATATCTTCTTTCACGAGACATTATGTGAAGTGGTAGAGCCTAGCTGTGGTCAGTTACTACAGCTCGAACATGGGCTGGCTCAACCGTGCAAGTACCACCCTCTCACAGAAGATCGGCGTGAAGTAGCCTTTAATGTAGTGTAGTACATTAGTAGTGTAGTAACCCACCCACCCTTTCATTTCCCTCCTTTTCCTTCCCTTTTCCCCAATCGAGGTCGGCAACACAACACAGCAAATGTTTAAATAACTTTTACGATAGCATCTTTAAAATACGATATTTACACCTAACACAAGTTTGACGTCACACTACATAAGATTCGTTTCCAGTTTTTGTTAAAAAGCTTAGTTGATTATATCATATATGTATTAATAGTAACATGTATGTTTGTCTGTACTCATCAGACTGGTCAAGTCGGCAGCGGAGCTCAACTGGTTGGTCTCGAGTTATACAAACGACTGAGAGAATTTTTGAGGACGTACCTCCTAAACTTACTCAAGGTTAGTATACATATTATTTATAAGATATGTTTAATTCAATTAAAAGGTAAAGTATGGCCCGAAATACTTATTTTCACAGTCAGTTAAAAGCATATTGTTATTATTGCATCATTATCAGCCTATCAGAGTCCACTGCTGAGCAAAGGCCTCTTCTCACGTGGAGAAGGTTTGAGCATTAATCACTACGCTCGCTCAAGACGGGTTGGCGATTTCAGACTTAAAATTTGATAATAAGTCCAGTTTTCCTCACGATGTTTTTCTTCATCAATCAGTGATGTCTAAATACTCTTAGAAAGTACATATGACTCGGAAAAATCACATTGGCACTTGTCAGGTTATACATATATATGTCAATATATCCATATTTCTATATACCCATATGTCTCTTTATCCACAGAATGGTTCAGACTTGATGGGTGAGGATGTACTGGCGTATTATACCAAGCAGTGGGAATTATACCAATTCTCATCCCGTGTGCTCAACGGAGTCTGTTCATACCTAAACCGACATTGGGTCAAGAGGGAATGCGAGGAGGGTAGAAAGGTATATAAGGGTTATTTGATTTGATTTGGTAATATCATTACATTAAATTTATATATAAATATACTTGTGTGCTAGACGTTAGTGTCATTAAATGTATAATATATTTGTAAAAATACAAACAAATCAAATCCTCACCCCTTTTTTCTAAGTCGGTTAACATATAATATAATGCTTTCAGAATATATACGAGATATATCAACTGGCTTTAGTTACATGGCGCGACAATTTGTTCAAATGTCTGAACAAGCAAGTTACAAATGCTGTACTCAAATTGATTGAACGAGAGAGAAACGGAGAGACGATTAACACGAGACTAGTTACAGGAGTGAGTATATGATATACATATACTCATTATCCTTATATACCAAATGTCCTTATATACCAATTTTCCTGATATACTCATGTAATATATTATATTAATATAAATATTATGACCAGGTTATCAACTGCTATGTAGCTTTGGGTCTGAACGAAGATGATGTATCATCAAGAGGTCAAAATTTAGTGGTTTACAAGGATACCTTCGAAGCAGTTTTCCTTGAAGACACAGAAAGGTTCTATATAAGAGAGAGCTCCGACTTCCTAAAGAACAATCCGGTCACAGAATATATGATTAAGGTTAATTTTTATTTTATTTATGCTATAGATTCATACAAATTTTATTTATATAATATTGTATATTATATATAAGAATGTCTTATTTAATGTATTTTTTTTGTAATTAAATTTGGTTATAATTTTATCGACATCTTGAACAAAATCAGCTGTAATTGGCTGTAGATAAGATTAAAGGGAAATATTAAAATTCTAATGTTTATGAATTTTATGTAATTATATATAGTTATAAAATCTTTATTATAATAATATAAAAAGTTCATATACTTAATTTTTTGTATCCATTACTGTGTCGCCTAAAATGGCTTAGATTCACAAATCATTCAATAGATGGCGCTGTAGTCAATGTCTAGGTTATTTAAAATAATAAATCTGATATAAGGCTACAGTTACACATGCTTTCATGCTTGAAATAAGTATGTGTAACAGTAGCCTAAAGCTGCTAAATGTATTATTTTACCACACTTCATACAGATTTCTGAGCGCAATACATGAGAACGGATTCGTGGGGAAAAACTAGTATATACAGTGGACCCCCGGTAGTCCGACAAACATTTTGCAGGGCAGTGTCGAACTATCGAATTCGTCGGATTATAGAGTACTGCCTAACACCCCCTATAGTCCGGATTTTTTTACAAAAGAGTACCTTGTAATCTGACAAATTACAGATTCAATGATAAGATTATTTACATATTATATATACATATGTATTCTGATGTACAAATTCAAATTCCAACTAAGCAATCAGAATCAAAACAATATCCTACGCGTCGAACACAATAGTGATGGTGCGTACAAGTTGTAACTTGTTCAATCATGTATTAGCAAAGACAAAATATGTATTCAATAATAAATAATAGATCATGTAAGATTACAGGGGCCGGATTACCGGGGGTCCACTGTATATAGTATAAACTAGTATATATATGTTGAAAACTGTACTACATATTATTATTCCTATGTTTTCCAGGCGGAACAACGTCTGCACGAAGAACAGAAGCGCGTTCAGGTGTATTTACACGAGACGACCATGGAGAGACTTGCCAAGACCTGCGACAGGGTCCTCATAGAGAAACACCTGGAGATATTCCACGCTGAGTTCCAGGTGAATTATGATATGATAATGATATGATGACTAGCTGACCTAACAAACATTGTTTTGCGATATACAAAAGGGCTTGGTGATAAATAAGTAAAAATGTATGGATGTATGTAGTTTTAATGTCACTTTATGAATAATCTGAGTTCCAGGTGAACTATGATATGATAATGATATGATGACTAGCTGACCCGGCAAACATTGTTTTACGATATAAAAATAGGGGCTGGTGATAAATAAGTAAAAATTGAGGGATGTATGTAGTTTTAATGTCACATTATTAAAAAAAAGATTTAGTTCAAATATTAAAAACAAATTGAGATGAATAATCCTTATGACTTAGGGATATAAAAAATAGATGTTGACCGATTCTCAGATCTACTCAATATGCTCACAAAATTTCATGAAAATCGGTCAAGCCTTTCACAGGAATACAGGGATGAACATTGTAACACGAGTAATTTTATATATAAGATCATATTGATTACCAAAACCTCTTTTTTTCAACAATCCTTATGTATATGCCTATTTTTTATATTTAAAGCTGATATTTAAAACGATTTCATGATTTTGATGAAAATTTCACATGTAAAATCCTAATACTTAAGACATGTAGTATAAACGATCCTTGTGTATCTGGCTATCTTTTATAATTGGTATTTAAAACGGCTTCACTGATTTTGATGAAAAATTTCACATGAAAAATCCTAATACTTAGACATGTAGTATAATTATGCATAATTAGACATAAATTTAATAGACATGTAGTATAATTCTAGTCTATTGTATCTATATGTAATTGTTTTATTTCCTTCTAGAAACTTCTGGATGGCAATAAGAACACAGACCTGGGTCGTATGTACAGTTTAGTAGCCAGAATACCCAGCGGTCTGTGCGAACTGCGCAAACTACTGGAACAACACATACACACACAGGGACTGCACGCGATCGACAAGTGCGGGGACTGTGTACACACGGTAAGTGATTGTACACGACAGTTGTGTGTATAAGATTTTGTACACAACAGTTGTCATTGCATATGAGAATATACTTATTATATTGGGGTGATTATATGTGTATGAGATTATGTTCTCTTCGCTTTTTTATATATGAGAGTGAAAATTGTACACAATAGTTGTTTATCGAAGCATTTGTACACGGCAGTGGTTATTAGTTGTTTGTTCTTAAAATTTGATGATTTTTGAACGCTAAATGTAATGTAGGTATAAATATATTTTCAGGATCCAAAAGTGTATGTATCTACAATACTTGAAGTACACAAGAAGTACAATGCTCTAGTGCTAATGGCTTTCAACAATGACTCTGGCTTTGTAGCCGCACTTGACAAAGCCTGTGGGAGATTCATAAACAGTAAGTACATACACTCGCATATATAAGTATAATAGCTGCGTCCCGCGGTGTTACCCGCTGATTTCCGGGATGTAAAGTAGCCTATGTGTTATTCTTGAACGTCAGCTTCCTGTATACAAGATTTTAACAAAATCGGTTCAGCCGTTTGAGCGTGAAGAAGTAAGAAACATACACGCACACTCACAAACTTTCGCAATTATAGTATTAGTAGGATTTTTTTTCTATCTAAATATTATTATAGCATAAGATATATGTATTTCAGGTAATTCAGTAACAAAAGCAGCTAATTCTTCATCCAAGAGTCCCGAGCTGCTGGCTAAGTATTGTGACCTTCTGTTGAAGAAATCTAGCAAGAACCCTGAAGAAGCTGAGCTAGAAGATACATTGAACCAAGTTGTGAGTTGATATACTAATAATAATATATAGCACATATATTTATATATATTTATACATATAATGGAACATAATAATGAAGTCAGTGGTGGCCTAGTGGTTAAAAGGCCCGCCTCTCGTTGCCGAGGGCCCGGGTTCGATCCTGGCAAGTACCAATGTGATTTTTCCGAGTCATATGTACTTTCTAAGAGTATTTAGACATCACTGATTAATGCATTCCCAAAGACAGTTGATGTCAGGCAGGCGGCCGGTCATAAAAACAATTAGCCAAAACTATTCACAACATGTAAGGCAGACCATGGCTGTAGCTGGGAAAATGCCAGATAGAAGACTAGAAGAAGATAGAACATAATAATGAAGTGGTCTATACATTATAATTGACATGACATTATTTTACAATACTGAATAAGTATAGCGTCATCATAGTTAAAATAGAATTATATATATAGGTATTTAGCCATTACATTGTTTTATTCTGTATGACATTCACATGTATTACATTCACATATATTATACAATTATGAACATTATTATATAAATCATTATTTCATAATATAATTTATTTCAAACATTAATTTTGTTTCCAGATGGTTGTCTTCAAGTACATAGAGGATAAAGATGTTTTCCAGAAGTTCTACAGCAAGATGCTGGCGAAACGGCTGGTGCAGCACATGTCGGCCAGTGATGACGCTGAGGTGAGGTGGTGATGAGTGATGAGAATTATGATGAGTGATGAGAATTATGATGGGTGATAAGAATTATGATGGGTAATGAGAATAATTATGAGTGATGAGAATATTATGGGTGATGAGAATTATGAGGGGTGATGAGAAATATGAGGGGTGATGAGTATATGATGCGTGATGGATGAGTGACGAGAATCATGATAAGTGATAAAATTATGAGAGTTTATGATCATGTTTTACTTTTCTTAATGAAACTCGCATAATATATCCTATACTACAAGTATTTGGCTATGTAACCATATAGAATTGCAATTAAAATAGTAATATATAATATATTATTATTTAATTTGTTCCCAGGCATCAATGATTTCAAAACTGAAACAGGCTTGCGGCTTTGAATACACCAGCAAATTACAGAGAATGTTCCAGGTAAAATATAAGCATACAAAATAAAATATATTATAAAATTTATATTATCTCATAATGAATAACATATATACATTTAATATATGTTCATTATTAATATATAAATAGATAAAAACATCTTCAATAGAAATTGTCGTAAAAATGTAGAGTTTAAAAATTATTGAAGCTATTTGAATCTGGGATTGCTAACATTATTAACTTTCAATTCATTTTCCAATTGAACTATAGTGTCAACAATAGTCTGTTATTTTCATAATATAAGTATTTCTATTATTTATTTTTTCTTCGAAATAATGAGTTCTAAGACTCATGAGTATTAAAATTAAATTAATATTTTTGTATTACTACGCCTTTATTATTTTTAATTTCATATCCCGACGTTCGGTTACTTTAAAACCGTGATCACGGACAGACGAGATGATGAATCATAAAATTTTCATTGTAGTTAAAAAATAAATACAAAATGCTTAGGAAATCCAAGAATATAACTTATTTATATTTTATTACTTTCGTATTATTATCTCAACAAATACCAGACATACAAACATTTTTCATTATTTAATCACTTTTGGAGGTATTCCATACATATTAGTTTAATTTTTATATGAAAATTTCTTCCAGGACATTGGCGTTTCAAAGGATTTGAATGAAAACTTCCGCAAGCACATGTCTAATAGTTCAGAACAACCTCTGCATATAGATTTCAGTATACAAGTGTTGTCATCTGGTTCTTGGCCCTTCCAGCAATCATCTAGCTTCCAACTGCCCACAGAAGTAAGAAAAATATTAATTTAATATAATAACTTTAAGTAGAATAGATATAAAGTAAAATAGTATTAAAATATGTCAGTGGTGGCCTAATGGTTAAAAGGCCCTCCTCTCATGCCTGAGGGCGCGGGTTCGATCCTGGCAAATACCAATGTGATTTTTCCGAGTCATATGTACTTTCTAAGAGTATTTAGACATCACTGATTAATGCATTCCCAAAGAGGATTGATGTCAGGCAGGCGGCCGGCCGTAAAAACAATTAGACAAAACTATTCACAACATGTAAGGCAGACCCTGGCTAAAGTTGGTAAATTGACAGGTAAATTAAGAAGAAGATGGTAGTATTAAAATATAATTTGAATATAATCAGTGTGAGATAACGGAAAAATAATATTGCGTGGAATTTAAGTGCAACTTCGTAATATTGGAAAGTAATGAAAGGGGTGGAAAATGATTTATAAGAAATTTTTAATGTTTCTTTAATACAAATTCTATTAACATTACTTACAAGTCACAATTTATTGCTCACATTCCCTATCTGTCTCTTTTTATAACAAGGTTGCGTTAAACGTTTAACGCAACCTCATTTGAAGTTGCATAAGATATTTCACTTCAAAAATAATAATAACTAAGCCTATATTATATATATAAATAATAATATATTGTTTAACAGTTGGAGCGTTCAGTACATAGATTCACAACATTCTATTCATCTCAACACTCGGGCAGAAAGCTGAACTGGCTTTATAACATGAGCAAGGGCGAACTGGTTACGAATTGTTTTAAAAACCGGTAAGTATATATCAATTGATTATTAAATAATTTTTGATATAGTAAAATACTTATTAAATAAATAGAATGACTGGGTTGTAAATTTTATTTTACTTATCTGTAGATAAAATGCTAGTTTTTTGTCTGTCCATCAATTTTCTTATTAATTTCAAAATCAAAGCATTTCACATATAATTTCTTTACTATAATAAACATTATTGATGAAAAATATGCCTAAATCGACTATAATTCTATGATGTGAAATCAAATAATTAATCCCTATTATATTCATATAAATATCTCTATTTATTCTTCTGTTTCTCAGATACACTCTACAGGCCAGTACTTTCCAAATGGCTGTTCTGTTACAATATAATGATAACACAGCTTGGAGTGTACGTCAGTTGGAACATCATACAGGCATCAAAGGAGACTTCTTAGTACAGGTATAATACTATGTTGGACAAAGTTGGATAATGTTAGGAAATTTTGGAAAATATTGGTTTATATTGTTCAAAGTTGGAAGACTTTGGACAACGCTCAACTATCATTGTGGTTAAAGAACTTTATTTCTCATATCATTGATTAGCTTTGACCATGTTGCATTAAGGAATGCCATAATATTGTATCATATAGATCACCAATCAAGAAACCATATTAATATATATCTAGTATATATAATAGTTTTCATATATGTTGTAACATTTAATAAATTAATTAATAATTTCAATCTTTTTACTAATAAACATATATTTAATTGTAATAGAAATTATATATAAATGTAATTTTTCGCCTCAGGTTCTACAAATCCTTCTTAAAGCTAAGCTGCTGGTGTGCGCCGATGACGAAAGTGAACTCACAGAGACATCTATCGTTGAACTTTACTTAGGATATAAAAAGTGAGTTACTAATATTTTAAATGCCAAAGTAACTCTGTCTGTCTGTCTGTTACGCTTTCACTCCTAAACCACTGAACTGATTTTAATGAAATTTGGTATAGAGTTGACCTTGAGAAAGAACATAGGATAGTTTTTATCCTAGACTTTTGAAAGTTTCTCTTGGAAACGCGATATAACCGAACTCCACGCGGGCGAAGCTGCGGGCGGAAAGCTAGTCACATATAAATAGATCATATTTAAGATAATCAATTTATAAGAATGATTTAAATGTATATATTAATTATGTTTTCAGTAAAAAACTGCGTGTTAATATAAATATACCGCTCAAGACGGAATTGAAAGTTGAACAAGAGGCGACACACAAACACATTGAGGAAGACAGAAAGATGCTTATACAGGTACAGATATATACATATATAAAAAATAAACTACTTTTTATATGATTAAGACCCGTAAGTACTAAGAAGAATTAACTATAAAAATATTTATATACGTATAAATAGTTTAAATCAATGAACATATAATCCTTTTAAATTTGAAAATCAAATGAAATAAATACTTCACCAAATATAATAAAATATTTAAGATTATTACAGAAAACTATGTCATTATGTTACCAACAATCTTATTAATAATTATCATTTATACTCTTTCCCATTAACAACTTACCAACATTAAAAATATCCAAATTATAATGAAATACATATATATAAAGTTTTCTTATAATAATAATTTATTTTCAGGCTGCTATAGTTCGCATCATGAAGACTCGCAAGACTCTCAAACATCAACATTTGGTTGTTGAAGTGTTGAATCAACTATCATCACGGTTCAAGCCTCGCGTGCCTGTTATTAAGGTATACAACATATATATACATACATATAAATAATAAGATTTCAAAAACAAAGAAAATAGTACAATCCTTTAACAAAACCGCGAAAAAAGATTTAAGTAATATAACCTATATATATGACAAAAAGTCAGTGGTGGCCTAGTGGTTAAAAGGCCCACCTCTCTCATACACGAGGGCGCGGGTTCGATCCTGGCAGGTAGCAATGTGATTTTTCCGAGTCATATGTACTTTGTAAGAGTATTTAGACATCACTGATTAATGCATTCCTAAAGAGGGTTGATGTCAGGCAGGCGGCCGGTCGTAAAAACAATTAGCCAAAACTATTCACAACATGTAAGGCAGACCCTGGCTATAGCTGGGAAATTGCCAGGTAGAAGAAGATATGACAAACATTATTCATTATAACTCTGTTTTCACTTTAATCTATATTATAAGAAATGAATAAATATATTCTATGTTTCATGCCCCGAAACAATATATAATTAACACAAATAAAACTATTTTATGCAACTATATTTGTATAAATGTTATATTATTATTAATTTTTTACAGAAATGCATCGACATATTGATCGAGAAGGAGTATTTGGAACGTACAGAAGGAGAGAAAGACACATACAGCTATCTAGCTTGATTGCATTATATCAGTGTATTTAATATGATGTTTTATTTAATATATATTACCTTTAAACTATATTATAATTATTTACACTACATATAGTGTAGATGGCGTCTTATTTCATAAAGCCATGTATGTCTACACTACTTGTAGATACTATATAATCAATATTTGCATCATAAAACAAATTAATTGAGTTTTTGACCTATATATCTACGTTTTTAGTCACATATTAGTAAATTGATGAAAAATTTAGAATAATCTGTATATGATTTAATGAAAACTTGTAAAGATATTAATTTTAATACAATCTTTTATTTATAAATATAAATTAATTATAAAAGAATTGTAAGACATAAACTTATTTGAAATGCTTAAATACTTCAGTTATGCTGTAAAATGGCTATAAAATAATATCTATATTAAAGAAAAGCTGAATATACTTTATTTTAAATAATTTGAACTCCAGAGATCACTTTTAAATGAAAAGCATTGGCTCCCAAATATATTTTGATTTTCAAATTTAAATAACAATAAAATTTAATTAGTAAAAATGATTTCTTTCTTATAATTTATATATAAATTATGCTGTAAGTTTAAATCATTCTAACATATGTAAAAATATGTATGTAATGTATATAAGCTTAAACAACTTAAAAGAAATTCAACTCTTCTATTTAATATTTCTATAATATTATTTATACGAAGAAATCGACGGCATGAGCAGACGATGTAACGATCTACAACTAGTATTTTGGATTTCTGGTTTGAACAACACTACGGAGTTTTTATTCAACTATAAAAGTAATGTTTAAGTAAAAGATATCATTACTTTAAAAATTCACAAATTGAGTTAAAGTTACTTACGACTGATATTTTAATCGTTATATTAGAAAACTAATAATTGGTTAATGTTAATAAATAAAAATGTACATAATTCGCATTTTTATTTACAACGCCATCTAGTTGATAAGTAGCGAAACTAAGCTTGAGCTGACATCTGTGTATTATTATTCAAACTAAAATATGCAATGACTCGTAGTAAAACTGTTGAATGAAATTCTATATACCTAACGTCATATAAAAATTGGGATTTGGGAATTTATGAATACTATTAATATTATCGTTTTTTAAGTTTAATACTCCAAGTATACAATATTTAGCTACGAGATATACGTATGACCAATAATAAATTACTTTACTTAGCCCTAATACGTAATTAATATCTATAAATTTTAAAAATAAATATATGTATAAACAACTAAATAATACATGAAATTACTAGTCTTACACAGATTTTAATGAGTTAAGACGAATAAACTTTTCCTTATCACTTATTATGTATAAAAACAAAATTGCAAAAAAAATGACATTTTGATCTCCAGTGCAAATAAAGGCGTGGTTCCTTTGATAGCGGGTTTATATAACTTATATTTATGTATGATAAATTATAATTATAGCTTCCGATAAAATATATTACAATTACGTCATGCAGCTATATAGCGTGAAAACAGATTGATGAAATTATTTACATAGAATATTGCCTATTCGAATCAATAACATTTTCAATATAACTATGTGATAAAAAATATTAATCGACTATTAATATCTGAGACTGACCTTGAGTAAAAATGGCTAAGAAATTTTCTTTTTCGTTCAGACCATGATGTGATACAAATACAAATGTAAATTTAAACTACAAGCGTAAATCCGCCGTCAGTGAAAACCGACAATACAATAGGTAGCTTAGAATCAGTTGCGTTGTAAACTCGATATAAAGTAGACGTGTGATAATGTTAAAAAATCCGAAGTATATATACGGTCCTAACGACAGATTTGTCCCGGCCGCTTTGAATTATGGACAATATTTCTTAACAAAACTCAAAGAGCACACCGGTAAAGTGGCCTTGGTAAGTTTCTGCGTCTCCGTAACTTGTATTATGCATGCCAATTATGCGAAGTCGTTTTTGTCTTGAATTTAAAAATATATAAACATTTAAAAACTCAAAATAGATTCAGGTGTATTTATTATAATCTCGTACTATATTTTATGATTTTTCATCACCAAAAAGAAGTAATAAATTTAATTCTAATGTAAAAAAGTAAATATTGTTTTTTTAGATAAATGGTTTAACAGACGAAAAATTAACATACGATGATATAGCTCAAGAGGCCATCAATGTATCATTCTCTCTCACACGTATGGGTGTTAGAAAGGGAGATGTTATCGCCATCAGTTCAGAGAATAGAAGAGAATATTGGAGTACTGTTGTTGGAATAATATGTTCTGGGGCTGTTGTTACAACAATAAATATTGGATATACGAATGGTAATTTAATATGGGTAATAAGAATGAAGTTGACGCGTGTGAATAGGAATTATTAGCAATCTGTTGCTAACTTCATTATTATTATCTCTAGTGGAATGTTTTAGAAAACAAGCACAATAAACTATTGTTTTAAAATATGTACCTGATAAGATATTGTTTATTTATTTATTTTATCTAAGATAATATAAATCCTTTGTATATAAATTTACAATTTGAAAATGATTACGTTTAATTGATAATTATATCACAATTGGATTTTAGGGCGTTTTTCGTAATCTTTTTTTAGTTAAGAAAAACTATCAAATCTTTCATAATGTTTCATGTCCTTGGATATATTTACATACATTTTATTAATAGTTATCATTATCAGGCTACGCAAACAATATAGGTACTTAATTAAATCTCGCTAAGAGCAATGGTCATTCATATTTTAATCATATCATATATGTATATGATAATGATTAAATGCAAAAAACGCAACATAATTCACTCATAATTTTATAATTTAAATAATCTTTTGTTACACAGACGAACTCAAACACGTTATGGGTATATCGAAGCCGAAATACTTATTTTGTTCGCCACTCGCTTACAAAAAACATTCAAAGAACTATAGATCGTTGAGTTTCCTGAAACATATTATATTATATGGCGACGAAGAATTGCCAGAGACGATTCCGTTCAAGAATTTAGCTGTACCTAGTAAAACACGAACTAGTCGCTACCACCTGGAAGCAAATGTGAATTTTGATGATTTCCAGCCAATAGATGTTGAAGGTCATGACACTTTATTTATTTTATACTCCTCTGGAACTACTGGCTTGCCGAAAGGAGTCATGATAACACATCATAACATTTTGACGTTATCATGGTACGTATAGTCTATTAGAGGTTAAGGTAAAATTCATGATATGACAATGATATGATATGTTACAGCTCTAATGTAACTCTGCCAACTCTCTTGGGTCTTACAATAACTCCGTGGTACCACACTATGGGTCTTATTGGCACTTTGGGTAGTTTTTCTCGTGGTACAACCACAGTCTTTCTGCCGAAATTCGACGTGGAACTATATTTGAGGACCGTTGAAAAATATAAGGTTTGTATATATAATAATTATATTATATTATATTATGTATATAATGCCACGACATTACAATATACTACATAATAATTTTGGTTTTTCCATGAGAATATATGATTTGAATCAGTGGTGGCCTAGTTGTTAAAGGGCCATCTCTCGTTGCCGAGGGCGTAGGTTCGATCCTGGCCCCGGCAAGTACCAGTGTGATTTTTCCGAATCATATGTACTTTCTAAGAGTAGGTATTTAGACATCACTGATTAATGCATTCCCAAAGAGGATTAATGTCAGGCAGGCGGCCGGTCGTAAAAACAAATAGCCCAAAACTATTCACAAAATGTAAAGCAGACCCTGGCTATAGCTGGGAAATTGCCAGGTAGAAGAGGAATATATGAGCATTTGTTTACCAAATATTAGTGCTGAAAATCGCTGACATATACATGTATACATGTATATGGAATAGACGACAAATATAACATGATCCATTTTTCTTATAACAGATACAACAGTTGGTTTTGGTCCCCGCGGCTCTAGTTGCGCTGGTTAAGTCTTCCCTGAATGTAGACACTTCCTCAGTGGTTTTAATCTACTGTGGCTCCGCACCACTTTACGAAGACACCGCAAAAGCTATCACTAAGAGGTAAAAAACAAACAAAAATTCGATATTACGAAAATAGCTATTATGAAGAATTCTTTTTAGCTAAAAAAGATGACTATTTGACTTTTCAGAAATGGCCCCATTTAAGTCTAAGTTCAAACGATTTAAAATATTTGATGTTTTGTTTGCACCATCATAATTATCGTTTATCGTTTTTGTTCATAAAAGGGTAGCATGTACAATTTATATGTACAAGAGGAATCTCATCGTATACATTTAGTTTTAGTTAAATATTTTGATATTATATGCGGATTTTAAATTTAAACTAGCAGCACCAAGATATGCTCTAAAATAATGAAAGCATGGAATTTTATAATATCTAGAGATTTCACCAAGATTAAACCTATCACGAGAATTTTTACCTATTTAATCCCAGAACCTATACGACTTGCTTAATAAATGTACAAGTTAAAGTTGAAGAGTTTAGTCATAGAACTATTTATATCATATAGTTCGATAAAATAATTATTAACCCAGAAAATTTGTAATACTATCAACACATGAATTAACTAAGTGAAAGTAATGAGCCTTAATCCAAGGCAAACAAAATATTAACTCTATAAACCCCGTTTTATATATTACTAGCTGCGAACCGCGATGTTACCCGCGGATTTCCGTAGCCTATGTGTTATTCCTGGACGTCAACTTCCTGTATACAAAATTTTATCAAAATCGGTTCAGCGGTTTGAGCGTGAAGAAGTAACAAACATACCACACACATAAACTTTCGCAATTATAATATTAGTAGGATATAGGTTATTTTTATTAAAAATTCAGGTTTCCGAACGTAACCGCATTACTCCAAGGTTATGGGATGACTGAATCTACTCTGACTATCACCATGAATTACAATCCTGAGAAATTCGGCAGCGTGGGCACTGTAACCTCACATACAGTTATAAAGGTATGAAATAATATACGATAAAACAAAAATAAATTTTCCAATTAATGATATAGCAAGTTGTTTTTGGAAGTAGCAAGTTCGATTCTTGTGTATTCCAATTAATTTTGAACTCGTTTTATGTATTTTAATCTCAATATTGCTTTAAAGCTACAACAAAATACGAGAACTGTACTTGTTTTAACATGAGACTTAGTTTATTTAAGATTAATAGGAAAAAAGGGCCATGCATTATTCTGGGGTTACTTTTGTAGAAAGTTTCAGCAAAATCGCTTCAGTTTAATTACTTCACGGACTATACGCAAATTATCTCAAAAAAATAGCAATACTATCACTACCTACATATGCAAGAATATGTGTACTTTTTGAAATACTAAGAATCTTCTTTTCTTTCAATAAAAATAATAATAATTGTATAAAAAAAACTATGGTAGAATTACAAGCATACAATGGAATGAAATGCAAATTATTTTTTTTACTTCGAAATTGTACACGTCATTATAATTTTTCCATTAAGTAATACGACATTACATTTATCTTTCATAGAAAAGAATATTAAAAACTTAATTAGCATCATGATAAACTAGAAATTACATTTTTCTGATAGAATTAAAATAATTATTGAAACAATTGCAGGTAGTTGACCCAGACACAAAGGAGGTTCTTGGGCCGAATAAACCTGGTGAAATATGTCTGAAGAGTGCGACGATGATGAAGGGTTACATCGGTAGACCGAGGAATGAAGGGTTTGATGATGAAGGGTTCTTTAGAACTGGTGATATTGGGTATTATGATGATGACGGATACTTCTATATAGTTGATAGGCTGAAGGAACTCATCAAATATAAGAGTTATCAGGTAATTATTGATTTTTTTAAATAGAAGATTTATAGCCAGACAAATATTGACAAATTGATCAGTTTAAGAAGAATTTGCTAACTAGGATGGATGGAAAGATTATTCTATTTATATCTAGATTGTATTTGTTCTGGATTCACCAGGATAGGCGAAGTTTTGCAGAAGATAATCTTATTTCATTTCAGTCCAATCCATATTTTCATATTTCCATAGTTAAAGCACAGTCCAACATTATGTATATACAATTGTAGATTATCAGTCACTTCAATAATTGTTTAAAATTTACATGATAATAACTTAACCCATTTTTAGAAACTGTTACTGTCTAAACCATATTCTCAATGAAGATCATGAATCTTAGTCACACAAAGTCCTTCTCACCTTATAAAACCTCACTATTTTTAGTTCCTTTATTTTTCTAAGTTTAAAATCCGGCGCCTCAACAATCAAATCAAATGTATAATGCAACTAGTTGCGTCCCGCGGTTTTACCCGCGGATTTCCGGGATGTAAAGTAGCCTATGTGTTATCCCTGGACGTCAGCTTGCTGTATACAAAATTTTAGTCAAAATCTTTTCAGGCGTTTGAGCGTGAAGAAGTGACAAACATACACACGCACTCACAAACTTTCGCAATTATAATATTAGTAGGATATTTCTCTGTAAATCTCATTGTTTTTGTACGAAATATATTTTTTTTCAATCCATTTTCAACCAGGTCCCACCAGCAGAGATTGAAACAACTCTTCTCAAACATCCATCAGTGTTAGACGCTGGTGTTGTTGGCGTGCCACACCCGGCCGCTGGTGAAGTGCCAGTGGCATTCGTGGTGCGAAGTGGCCCTGTCACTGAGGCAGAACTTGTGAAATTTGTGGCAGAAAGGGTGAGCAATAGTGCCTATATAGTACAAAAATGTATTAACCGTTAAAACCACTAGTGATTCGTGAATATTTGCTGCCAAAGAGAGAAATTCGTATATATTGCTAATGTTTTTTTACCTATCTTTTGTCTAAATTCCTTATATATATAGATATTATATATGTATTTCTTCGCTATAAGCGATACAATATAACAATAACTTGAGGCTGTCATGATATTCATGATTATTGTTACAAGTAAAATGAAATCAAAGACTGTTTAAAAGGAGAACAGAACTATGTTTGAATCTTGGTATAAATATGACGTCTGGACGCACGACGGCCGAGTTCAGTGAGTGTGGACCATTGAAGAATGTGATTATGAAGAACCTTCGAGAAATACAGGAACATTAAGAAGAATTGAAGTTTCATTTTAAAATATCATGGAATGCTCTGAAATTAGTGACGCTAGTGACGTCAGCATTGATGACGTCATTTTCTTTAAAAACAACGAATTTGTAACAAATTTGATATATACAGTAAACTCCTATTTGAATATTTTTGACATTACGAACAATGTCCATACGAACTATTTGTTAAGTTTAACATCAATAGATAAGAGAAATGTAATAATTTACTGAGACAATGCAGACAATTATCTGAGACTAAGTGAATAATTAAGCATAACGAAAATACTATGTACAAGATTTAAAATCAATATATATCTATATATATGTTAGTTACACTATTTATAACTCAACAACGGTTGTAGGGATGTGGTTGAAGATTGGTGGAGAGATAGCTTAGAACCAAGAAACGGACATAGGATATTTAATACTGTTCAATTGATAAAACTTAATAAATTCTTTTCTTTATTTACGGCCTCTATAGCGGAATAGAGTTCGCCCGGTCAGCTATACATATATTACTAATTACGAAATGAACGCGGACGAAGTCGCGGGCAAAATAATCGATATTTTTTCATTTAAATCATGTATTGTTTTATATTTTCCAGCTATCAAACCCAAAACATCTCCGCGGCGGAGTCATCTTCATAGATGAAATACCGAGAAACCAAACGAGCAAGATACTTAGGAAGGAACTGAGGAAGATGGTGAAAGCAAGGAAAAGTAAACTTTAAGATTAACATAATAAGGTCGTTAATACAAGGTGATTTTATATGTATATATTGTGATAATTGACTATAATGGTTTACGATATCTTGGCAATGTTTTATTATATTTTATAATATCTAAGTTAATTCTATTTCTTATTGTTTAATTCCCTTGGAGTATAAAGAATATTTGAATTCATTAATTAATGTTCGAGTAGTTAAGATTATAGGAAAACAATTTATTTACAAAATTTATCTTGTTTCGTTGGATTTATTTTAATATCCGACTCAAAATAGATTTAGTAAAAGTGACTTTGTACCTTGCTAAACGGATTAACTGATTTCGACTCTGTTTACTTGAAAAGTCTATTTTGGTGTGGCTCTTAATTGTATTGGTTCATTGATCATGTTGTGAAGAAATATCAGGTCAGTTGTAAAATGATTTAAGGCATTTTTTTTGATAATTTGACTATTTTGTAAAGCGTTTTGTCTTTAATGTTGAATAAAATTTTGTTATGTTATTAATTCGTATTATATTTATATTCCCTCAATGCTTTATACACTTCTGCTATATTTAATCTTTTGATATTTCGGAATCGTCAGTATGTCTGGTGCAAGTGTAAAAACAATTGAGATCTATCCTCACTCAAGATATGGATGTAAAATTAAAGAACCAAAAAGATGATATTTGTGGACCGCTAACAAAGTACCAATTATTATCTAGAACTATATAGAAGTATAGAAAGGACAAAAATACAAGTAAATTTGTAAGAAATCATAATTATTTTATTCGTCATTGTAATGTCAAGCTTATGTACAATGTACATATAAAAATATAATAAATTGACATTCAATTGCAGTTCTTTTTTGTTTTCTTGTACAGTGATACATCAATTAAACAATAGACATCGTTAATCTTTTTATAAACCCGTTATTAATTCCTTAGAAAATAATCTTCTTCCAAAACCAATCACAGTTTGCTTTTATTCTTCAGCATTTCTCTGAGTTTCTTTCTCAATATCTTTCCGCTTGGATTTTTTGGTATTTCCTCAACAAATCTTACTCCTCCACGAAGATGTTTCGGGTTAGATAACTGTAACAGATAAAATTGGTTAAAAGAATACAAAAAATCCTTATTTGATGGACCAAAAAGTACCTTTTCAGCTACAAAGCTTTTGACTTCTTCTACAGTGAGATTGCTTCCCGGTCGTCGCGCTACAAATGCTAGTGGGACTTCTCCTGCCTCATGTTGAACACCCACCACCCCAGCTTCTAGTATATCAGGGTGTTGTATTAATACTGCTTCGATTTCAGCCGGTGGCACCTTTTATATTATTTAAAATGAACCATTATTGAGAATAATTAATAAGACGATGATATTTATTTGCTATTGATATAAAACGATGTTTTAATATAATATAATTAATTCCTCAAAAAAGACCATTTATATGTTGCAAACTCTATATATCCTATATCATTTCAATGAGCAAAAAAATTAAGTATTAATAATTGGCATATCAAAATAGTGTTAATAATAATTACGATCTTTGCAAACAGACCTGATAACCTTTATATTTGATGAGTTCCTTCAATCTTTCCACGATAAAGAAGTATTTGTCTTCATCATAGTAACCGATGTCGCCTGTCTTGTAGAAGCCTTCATCATCAAAATCATTCCCTCGATCTTTTCCCACATAACCTTTCATCACCAGAGCACCTTTTACACATATTTCTCCCTTACAGTTTGGTCCTAATGGCTGTCTTGTTTCTATGTCCACAACCTGATGATGTAATAACTTATGATTAACTAGCTTTCCGTATCGAGTTTCCAAGAGAACCTTTCAAAAGTCTGGGATAAAAACTATCCTATGTTCTTTCTCAAGGTCAACTCTATGTCTGTACGAAATTTCATTAAAATCAGTTCAGTGGTTTAGGCATGAAAGCGTAACAGACAGACAGATAGAGTTACTTTCGCATTTCTAATATTAGTAGGGACTACAAGCGTATTTTTGAGCTGACTTTGTGGTATAATTCGTCATATTAATTTGGGAACAGAGTATCATTTTAAATAAGGTAGAATATTAATACCAAATTATTACAATACCAGCATTCATTCTTGCTAATATTTTATTTCAACGCTAATTGAAGAAGCAATATGATTTTTGCCTAAAAATAATGATTGTAGATATATGCATTTGCTTAAGATGTTTGTTTAGTTTATGTATAATGGCCTATATGAATTACATTTGATCAGTTACGAGCCTCGTTTTTATCGAACCGTTTTTCGCGCATGTAGTTTTCTCTGGTTTCCCTATAATCTTTATATATATATATATATATATATATATATATATATATATATATATATATATATATTTTTCTGTGAGTGTGTATGTCACTGAACTTCTCTCAAACGACTGGACCGATTTAGATGATTTTTTTGTGTGTGTTCAAGGGGATGTGGGAATGGTTTAGATTCACAATTTTGTCCGCTGGACAATGTTCTTTTAATTAATTTTTAATTTATTAGTAGTTGTTGATACAAACGTTTTTTTTTACATTAGATTTGACAACTAACTAATATGTCAATTTATGGCTTTAATAGGTAAACTTTAAAAATATAAATAAAAAAACTTAACAGATATTTCTTGATTATAGGGCGATACGAAGTTCGCCGGGTCTTCTAGTACTTTTATAAGACTTTATTTAACTTTTCATCTCATACCTTTATATCGACGCAGGTACCGATTCTTCCAACACCACCAATTTTACTAAGATGTGCGGCCTCGTAAGTGTCTCTGGCTATAGAAAATGTAGTCTCTGTCATTCCGTAACCTTGGCACACGTACTTCAAGTTCGGAAACCTGCAATTTTAAAGAATCTTCTCTGTTATTCAAGCAATTTATTCATGGCAACCACTGCAGGTTGTCCTACCAAAAAGTGGAGAAATTTTTTTTAGTTTGCCATAAATCGAATTCAAAAATTTGTTCTCTTCCAATGTAACATAATACTTATAATTTATTTCATTTATTACATAACTAAGCCGATAAATGTAGCAAACATACATATGAATTTATGTTTCGTTTTGTCAGTATAAAAAACGTTTTCATAACCGCTTAGGACGTTTGAAAATTACTTAATCATAGTCCATAGGTACAGCAACAAAGTTTGAAAGGTTGGGTGTATGAACGAACAGTTTCAAAGTCTCCCAAACTGTAAGACATAGAAGATCATTTGATCACCTTTTCTTAGCAGCTTCGATAGTTTCCTTCTTCAGAGGAGCAGCACCGGAATAAGCTGCTACAACTGAACTGACGTCATATTTAGAAGGATATTTGGAGAGAATTACGAACACAGGCGGCGCTACCACTAGCTGGCCTACCTGGTGGAAATAAATGAATTAATATGAGACGAAACCTTCCATCATTCCATGTATTCACGGTGCGTGTGTCGGGTCCATCGTTGTAGTGAGAGGAGCTTCAACAGTGACTGGGACTTGTGACCCAGGTGTAGGTTTAAGGGTCCCTACCTAACGCGTTAAACGCTCACCTCCACTGTCCAAGCTCCTCTCGCTACCAAAACAAAATTTACAACAATATCACGCTCTATTATTTCATCATGATATTGTTTATTTTATGTCATATAAGCGTCTTATATTGTTTTCTTATCATTTGTTTAAAAGAACTTTAGTTTCAAATCCTGCTATTTTATGCTGTTTGCTCTTATAAAATTAAATTAAGTAGCATCACATAAACGATTTTATTTTTAATATTGGTATCACGTATTCAAATTTTGAGAAAAAAAAAAATGATTATTGAATTTAATTACATACTCCTACATCACATAAAAATATATTTTAATGTAACATAATATAAATTCTTTTACCTCCGTATAAAAATTCATATATTTTGGTATGAAATATTATATAGTTACTACACAATTTATTAATTACGTATGCTTTTATCAAATTTTTTTTAAAGATAAGATTAATAATGCCACATATCAACAATTATCTTTATGACAGACAGAATGTCAGTCCCAATTATAATTGTCGTAGATATAATGAGATAAAACGTGATTAAAAATAAACTATGAACGTAAAACTCGACGTTTCGACTACTTTCGGGAGTATGTAGTTTTTATCAGAAATAAAGTCGCGTAGTATAATCCGAAAAATATTAGTTTCATTTAAATGAATACTCACGAAAATCTGCAATCTCATAACTATGAAAGTCTCATCTTTGTTCATACCTTGTATTTTTCTATTGTTTCTAAATACTGATCACATTGGAATTTCGGCAAGTACAGTAGCAAAGTTCCTGTAGCAAAGACCCTCAATGACCCTATGAGACCCATGGCGTGGTACCAGGGAGCTACGAATAGGGTCACCAGGTTCGGATTCAACGATTGAGGTCTGGTGACACATAATATATAGATATAATAGAGATAGATTAGATAGATAGATAAAATATAATAATTCAATACTCTAAATAAAATAACAAATTATAATTTCATAACTCTTAATGTGTACAGATATTAAATATTATCTATGCATTATTGGTCTAAATTATTAACTTTAGTTCAATAATGTATGTACATCACTCTTATATTGACTCAATTATTGGAATCAAAAATTTAAAGTTATATGCAAACATTGAATCCTGATGAATTGTCTTTTCTTATCTTTGATAATCAATATAATTAGAGATCTTATCAAACATTTAATTGATATACGCTTACTTTAAACTTGAAAATTCACACTACATAAGGAATTTTTAATATTAAAAATTGAAAAATCGTAAAACATTACGAAAATAAAAATGCATATTAATAAGAAATGTATTCGCTTAGTGTAGTGTCTAAATGACTAAGACCCAGTTTCACCAATCATTGTTAAATAAGTAACATCGTGTTAAGGCGTTTGATGCTCTGTTAGATGTATCGAGCGTCCCACCACGCACAAATGTCCGTTTAAATGTCTTAACAAGCCACTAATATTAGGGGGGACCGGAAAGTAATGTCGTTTTCTTACGCTAAATACCAACACATACATTTTTAACGAGTCTTTATTTTTAATCAATGATGTATTCCCCATCATTGTCAATAACCTTTTGCCATCTAGTGAGTAAATTTTCAATACCTGATCGATAAAAATTAATTGGTTTTTCGGCAAAATATCTAGAGATGGCATTTTGGATATCATCCAAATTTGCAAATGTTTTGCCACTTAAAAAGTGTTGCAGCGCTCGGAATAAGTGGAAATCCGATGGTGCAACATCGGGCGAATATGGTGGATGAGGGAGCACCTCCCACCCCAATTCATTAAGTTTTTCTAGAGTTCGCCTTGCGCAGTGCGGTCTTGCATTGTCATGTTGGAGAATGACGTCTTTTCGGTTGACAATCGCTGGCCACTTTTCAATTAAAGATTGATTGACTCGCTGCAATTGTTCGCTGTAGAGGTCTGCAGTAATAGTTTGTCCGGGTTTCAGTAATTCAAAATGAACAATGCCGCGAATACTCCACCAAACACATAAAAGCGCTTTTTTGGGGTGTAAACCTGGCTTAGCAGTACTCCGAGGGATTTCATTTGGAGAGAGCCACTGCCTTTTGCGTTTTGGGTTATCATACAGGACCCCTTTTGCCATTTCCTGTGATCAAGCGATCAAAAAACGCTTCTGTGTTGTGTCGTTGAAGCAATAAGTTGCATGTGATTGATCGGTTAGCCTTATTCTGTTCGGACAGATTATGCGGACCCAAACACCTGCTCTGCTTACTTTCCCAATCTGCTTCAAATGTTCTTGGATGGTCGACACAGGTTTGTTGAGACTGTTCGACAATTTCTCGATCGTCTGACACGGATTTGCTTCCACTTCCGCCCTTAACACGTCATTGTCTAACGCTGATGGTCTTCCTGATCGATACGAGTCGGAAAGATCAAAATTACCCGATTTGAACTTGGAAAACCACCTTTGGCATTTACGAATGTCCAGTGCATTTGGATAAACATCGCAAATGTTTTTGGTAGCAACTGTTGCGTTATTTCCCTTGCGAAACTCAAAGAGCATGCAATGCCGGATGTGTACCTCTTCTGGTATTTGGCTGGCCATTTTACCCAAAATTACAAAAAAAAAATTGTAATTCTATTGTCTATAAGTAAAGAAATCACTATAACCTCACAATGTCTTTGGTACGCCTCTGAACCAAACGATGAGCTGACAAATGACAATCAAGTATTGGCATGCGCAGAAACGACATTACTTTCCGGTCCCCCTAATATTAATTCCTGCTCTGGAGCTCCGTCTAATGGCTAACAGACTGTTAATGCATTGTCGAAACTCAATTGTCCAATCACAGCCCTGATTTCTTGTAACCATAGTAACGTCATCTGTTTTGTCAGTTTCGACTATTTCCTTCTACTTATTAATAAAGTGAATTAAAATTTCATTTCCTATAATGATTTTGCCTCCAGTTTTTTTATAACATTACAAATTAAGTTTCCTTTTTATATTTTATAATTTGAACACAATTTATGCCTATATTTATAACACAATAATATATAACACAATTTATTGACAACACGATTTTGACAGGTTACACCTAGTAAATTGAAAAGTAAGCTTTTTGTGTGCCACATGTATGCAACCAACGATAAATAAAATTTGGTCGCATTAGCTTACAAGTGACGTATCGAGGGATATAATATACGACCAAAGTATAAAGTGGTGCATCGTGGCAAACGTGCCGTGTTAAACGCTATAGTTTCCATTTGGTCGTCTTATAACAAGAACGAATAATTTGGTAGTCGGTCATTTGACATGACGTTTAATAATGCGTTGTTAATTTGTCATCGTGGGACGTAAATATTTTAACAGACATTTATAATTTGCTGTGATTAGCTTAAACAAACATTGATTGGTGAAACTGGGTCTAAACGACGTTAAAAACTCACAGTAGACACGACACGATGACGTTCAGATGTGTCAACATGACCCCTTTAGGTAAACCCGTGGTTCCTGAAGAATATAATATGATAGCCGTATCATTTTGACCTTCAACGTCCTTGCACTTAAAGTTTTCTGGACTGATAACACCATTATGCCTCAGAAGATCCTCAAAAGATAATGTATTTGAAATCTTCTCGCCGTAAATTACTATAGATTTGATGTACGGTAGAGAATGGAATAGTTTGCTGTTGGTTTTATACGCGTTTGGTGAACAAAACACGATTTTAGGTTTTGATATGTCCAAAACGTGTTTATGTTCATCTGTAAAAAAAAATCTTATATATACATATATATTTAATTTAACTCTGTATCCGAATAACAGCAATTAGTTTGATGATAAAATATTTTTAAATTTGTATCATAACTTATAAGTTATAAGTATTATTAAATATTTATTGAAAAGTTATACTTTTTGTCGTAAAAATTAAAAAAAAATATATTTTTTCAATAGTTTCATCTTATTTTGTAAAATTTTTTGGACAAAAAATATAAATATTTCGTATTTTTTGTTTTATATTTTCGTAAAATATTAACTTTCAAACTATTTTTTCGGTAACATTTTTCTATTAATAAATAAATATAGTATTATTTTTTGGTTATTTACAACGTATATATATATTTTCTCTTTTTTTTTTAAATATACTTTTTTAATTGAGGTTATTCAAACTTTATTTCATTAATTACCCATTACACACGTGTATTGAAGCATATGTTCAATTGCAGTATATAAAACATATATATAGTGCATAAGCATATAATATATATTTAAAACAATATCTACAAGACAGTATTGACTTAAAAGTTTCACAAAAAATTATGATCGCATCTGAATTATTTATCGACCATGTATAAACGAAGATAATAATATTAATGTAATATATATTATTAAAAGTGAATAACCTTTAGTATATGCGATATTAGTAGTAGTGACTGTGGCTCCGGTACAGCATATACCCAGGACCGTTGAAAAATACTCCTGTCTGTTCTCAGAGCAAATGGAAATCACATCACCCCTCTTAATACCCATCTCTGTTAATGAGATAGACAAATTCATCGCTTGTATAGCCATTTCACGGTAACTTAACCTCTGTTTGGTTGCGCAGTTTAACTGGAAATTAATTTAAAACCATAATATTTAGATTATAAATTATATGTCTATTTTTATTTAAAGATATCCTCGATTAGTTTATTATAACTGGAAAATGTTTTACTACTTTCTGTACATTAAATTCGTAATTAAATACAATAATGTTAATAGTCAAAGTTTTGTTTTATAATGTATATATTCAAAAGATTTAAGAAATCAAAGAATAAACTATAAATATCTCACCATAGCTATTTTATCGCCATATTTCCAAATAGTATTAATAATATAATTCCCTAAATTTAAGTCAGCCGGCACACTTAGCGAGTGGTCGCCATACACGTAATTCGAATTCCTCAACATAATCAAGTTGTTTAAATAAAAATTATTATTATAACAGCTAACAAAACTTCAAGACCGTCCCAAATTAATGTACAATGTACACTGATAACAACGTTAAATTTTATAATGACGTATTATCATAACCCACAGATAATAATTGTATATTCAATTTGTTTCTTCTGTAATAGTTTTATTAATTAACATGCATTACATTCTGCCAACATCGTATTATTTAACAAAGGAGGTTTTATTGTATATAATAATGGCATTTTTTAAGTCCTATTTACAAAAAAAGATATATACATATATAAAAGGTATGCAGATAAATTTAAAACGACGAGTGCTCTTCATCAAAGTAGGTTATTAACTGGTTTATAGCCGGTTGCTTGTAAAGATGTCTTGAATTATGTAAGAAATGCATATATATATATGTATACATAAATAAATAAGTTGTTATAGATATAAACTAGTTTATTTTATATAGTATGCATTAGTTATATAATTATTTCATTATATTTAAACTTAGTAGAATACATACAAAACGAAAGTATATGTAAGTCTACAGATGTTTATTATTTACGCATTTTGATGTGACAGAGGTAATATTTTAGTTTTGTTCAAATCGAAAATTGTATCATCATCATCATCATCAGCCTATCAGAGTCCACTGCTGAGCAAAGGCCTCTTTCTCCCATGGAGAAGGTTTGAGCATTAATCACCACGCTTGCTCAAGACGGGTTGGTGTTTACAAATTTATAATTGTTAAACTATAAGTCCAGGTTTCCTCACGATGTTTTCCTTCACCGTATGTCATTGATGTCTAAATACTCTCAGAAAGTACATATGACTCCGAAATATCACATTGGTACTTGCCAGGTTTGAACCCGCGCCCTCGGCAACGAGAGGCGAGCCCCTTAACCACTAGGCCACCACTGACTAAATTGCATGTTATTCTGAATTTTGAACTTTTAAGATTATTAAAAAACAAATGACATATATTGCACAAATGAGGAAATTCTGCAAAAAGTATGTACATATTTCAAAATAGGAGCTCAAGTGAAGTATTCGTATAACATTTTCTAAAAAAATACACGATTTCAATGTCACATATTGTGACTTTTGGTATTTTTTTAACTATATTTATTTTGTCTTAAAAACCCATATTACTATACGTAATAAAATTTTATCAACTTCTCTTTTTTAAAAACGAAATTATTCACTTATGTGATTATTTACGAGAAAACAATAAATAATGTTATATATATAATGCGATTAAAGATATTTAAATGTACCACAGTATATATGTGATATGCTGTTAATTTGTAAGTTACAAAAACAAAAGTCTTCTCCTGTGTTACAAAAAAAAAAAGGTTTTACACCACTAGAAACTTGAATGTCTTAATTTTCCCGACACAGTTTTAACTTTACACATGAAAATATAGCATCCGTTGAAGTTCAAGCGAAAAGGATGTAAATCTAGTAAATAGGTTTTATAGAAGGTAGAGCCTAGCTGTGGTCAAGTTACTACAGCTCGAACATGTGCTGGCTCGACCGAGGAAGTACCACCCTCTCACAGAAGATCGGCGTTAAGTAGTCTTTTATGACTGCGTTTTGTCCAATGAGTGAGAGAGACGGTTGCTCTTTCCCTTTTTCCATCCTTGCCTATCCCTTCTCTTTTTGACTCCCTTTCCCACTTTTCCTCCCCCTCTTCCTAAATCAATTGTGGCGACACATCCGCAACATGCCTCATGTTATGAGATCTAAGACTTTCGCGTGTATTCATTTTAATGAAACTAATGTTTTCGAATTACTACGCGTTTATTTATTTATATATTCTTTATTGTACACCAATATAGACAAATAATAGGAGTAACATAAAGAAAAGAAAATGTACAACAGGCGGCCTTATCGCTAAAACAGCGATCTCTTCCAGGCAACCTTTGGTAGAGGAGAGAGATAGGATGGTAGGGGTGTACAAATTATAAATATAGATACAATATATATATATATACATCCATATATATGTATATATACGATACATAAATAAATATACCATAAATATATGCTTATATAATAATATAATATACATACACATTATAAATATATACATTTACATACTATAGATAGTTACATAATATGTCACGAAGCAAGATAGTGCTCTTTTATCATTTTTTTAAAGGAAGTCAAGGTTGGTGCACGTCTTGCTTCGAGTGGAAGAGAGTTCCAAAGACGAATAGAATGGACAGTAAAAGAGTGAGTGTAAAAAGAAGTTGTATGAGGTGGTATTTTTAACATCGAATTCTCTTCAGAACGAAGATTATGACTATGGGAAGAACTAAGAAATTGAAAACGTTCTTTTAGATATGAAGGAGAAGACGGATTGAACAGAATACAGTACAGAAGTTGAAGGATGTAAGTATTCCTGCGAAGCCGGATTGGGAGCCACTTGAGCTTTTTACGAAACTCAGAAACGTGATCATATTTACGAAGACCAAATATGAATCGGATGCAAAGATTTTGGAGACGCTCAAGTTTATTAAGTTGCTCCTCTCTTAAATCAAGATAACATGCGTCAGCATAATCGAGAATTGGTAGTAGGAGTGACTGTGCTAACATAACTTTGGTAGGGATGGGTAGAAAGTTGCGTAATCTTCGGAGGGAGCCAAAGGCTGCAAAAATTTTTTTACTTACCTCACTTACCTGTGGTTCCCAAGACAGGTGCTGGTCAAAGGTAATTCCCAAATTCCTAGCTGTGACACTGAACGATATGTTAACACCGTTAAAGTGTACAACCGGGAGATCCGAAAAAGATATGCGAGGAATTAACTTGGAGCTACCAATAACCAGCACCCGTGTTTTATTTGGGTTTACGCGTTTATTATTTTAACTACACACTCTCGACGTTTCGGTTACTTTGAAACCGTGATCATTAAGACGAGATGTGAATGTAATTTTCATTTTCAAAGCGACATTTGAATGTATCGTGTTTAGAGGGAGATGAAAAATCTTAAGATTTATTTTCAGCACTAATAAGAGCTAAGATATAAGAATTTGAATTCCTTCCTCTAAGAAACTGATTCCTAAAATAGGTATAACAACAAAACAAAACATTTTCTATATTTTTAACCTATCAATATATAATACTTAATATGTAGATAGGTGAAATTGCTTATAAAATATGACAGGCGTTTTACAATTTTATTTGAAAACTAGCTTTCCGACCGCAGAGTTCGGTTATATCGCGTTTCCAAGAGAACCTTTCAAAATTGTGGGATAAAAACTATCACATGTTCTTTTTCAAGGTCAACTCTATCTCTGTACCAAATTTCATTAAAATCAGTTCAGTGGTTTAGGCGTGAAAGCGTAACAGACAGACATACAGAGTTACTTTCCCATTTATAATATTAGTAGGGATTAATCCTTATCATTACCTTGAATATCTATAAATAAAATCTGTCAAGAAGTTTGAAAATTAAACAACTAACGAATCCATAAGCAATTGCAATAAAGATAAATTGAAAATCAAACATTAATACCCACATAGATTGATACCGTGCCAATAACATAAATGTAATAACATTTAACCAATTTTTTTATATAAATTACTAGAATTAATTAAGCAATTATGAACACAAAGAAACGAGTGAGAGATCATAATTGTTATGTAATGACTGGCTCCAAGGCCTTACTTCTTAATAGATTATATATTTAATGACTGACGATAAATAAAGTATACACAACATATTATATACCTTTATATGTATCAAAAATATACGATATGGCTCTTGTAACGAAAATACGGTTCTATAAAACAAAAATGGTCTTTTAAAAGTATTTATATATATAAATGAAACTAATATTTTCGGATACTATGCGATTTTTATTTTTAATTATAAACTACATACTCCAGACTCCGTGGTCACGGTTGCTGTAAAATTGCCGAAATATGGGTAGTATGTAGTTTATAATCAAAAATCACTTAGTACATCCAAAAATATTAGTTTCATTTAAATGAATACTCTCGAAAATCTTAGATCTAATTGTCTTTCTACATATTTATTAATAAGTTTACAATTGAAAAAGTATTAGTGGCTTCTGTAAATTCAAAAGTTATTTCATAATTATGCTATTATTCCAAAGAAAACGAGAGTCAAAAATATGAGAAAATTTATTGAGTAGTTGATTTTACTACGAGAAAGTTATTCGTGGTATCTCTTTACCTAAAACCATATTATTTTATATACTTCTATAGCACTAATTTCAGTAATAAATAATTTCAGACTATAGATTATGAAAAGATTTTTTTCATTATTCCTGCCTTATTCTACAAGAAGTTAATTTATATATCTTCTTCTTCCTGGCAATTTCTCAGCTTTATCTAGGGTCTGCCTTACATGTTGTGAATAGTTTTACGATCGGCGCCAGCCTGACATCAACCCTCTTTGGGAATGCATTAATCAGTGATGTCTAAATACTCTTACAAAGTACATATGACTCGGTAAAATCACATTGGTACTTGCCAGGGCCAGGATCGAACCTGCGCCCTCATGCATGAGAGGCGGGCCTTTTAACCACTAGGCCACCACTGATATAATAAATTGATTTATATATATGTCTTTAAAATCTACATTAACTTCATCTGT